CTGGCAAAGTGACCAGGAAAAATATGTCACCCTTCCCATCCACTACTACCTGTGTTAAAAGAAGGGGGGTGGTGGGGTGCGAGAAGGGGCAGCCCAATGCTCAGTCAGCCGTGCTCCTGCAACAGGAAACTGGGGCCATGACTAACACGACATGATGAGGAAAATAACTGAAGCACTCAACCATGAGACGTAGCCAACAGTGTCAGTGAGCTGCAGTTTACATGAAGTGAAGCTGAATTTCTTGAACTAGTTATGAAGTTAAACATAAAAGATCATTTATGGCTTTTCTGTTGAAGATGAAAAAATCTAAATAATCAGGAAAATTGTGGAATCATGAAACTAAAGAAACTTGTCTTTATTTAAGAGAAGACTTGAACTTAATTATAATCCAAATGGAAAAACTGAATAAATTAATAATTAACTGAGCTAAAACTCCCGCGGTCTGTCTGGGAGTGAATCTGGAGTTTTATTGAGGGGCAACAGGAAAGGGAAAGGATGTGCTGAATAGCCAAAAAAAAAGGAGAAGGAGTCTTGCAACACAGAAAGTGGCACAATGTTTGTTTTAGTAATTGATAATAGCTGAAATTATAACTGTAGTGGTGTTTTCATTTTCCCAAAGTCTGTGTGATTAAGTGGAATAATTATGAGCTTATCAGCTGCTACTTTTGGCTGCTCCTAAAGCCTGTGACTATGGGAGAAATACCTGCAGGTGAGCAACAGAGGTAACTACCAATGAAAGCGAAGAATACTGTTGATTGGCATATGATCTGCTTGTTAAATACGTGAAAGTCATTCTACATCAAGGGCCACATACTGCCCACTTTCTTAAGTGGGTCAGATCAGTGAAAGTGGAAAATATGTGCCCACATTTTCCAAACCTGTCAAGTGGGCGGATTTGGCGTCTTTGCCGACTCAATTCTGGGCTTTATGTTTGACACCCCTATATTAGAGTGTTACCTGGGCAACCAGAGGTTTGGCTGTCCGTTGACGACAAGCTAGCAGCTTCGAGCAAATCGCTTCCAGTGTGTTTATTTCGATCCCAATTACAAATCGATTTGTGTCTCCTCCTGGGGTCAAACTAGGAATCTTTCACATGTTTAAATATGTAAACAACTTCTAATCAGTCTGATGAGTTCAGTACACCAATAAAAGGCCAGTAGAGGAAGGAGATCAGTCAAACAGTACACTTCTTCTTTATATGACAAATGCTGGATTAATAATAGATAATCAGTAATAGAAAAACTGCATACTTTCCAGTTTCCATCTGTTGGTCAGGAGAAACAAGTAATGTTTAGATGTCCCCTTTGTATCCATTTAATGGGTGTTTTCCACATTATAAGGGTGTAACTTAAAGAAAAGGCGCTTATTTATTTCTCAGAGAAACTCTTTTTCTGCTCTGATATTAAAGTATTTCATGTGAGCTCTTATCAGAAACGTTAAAACCAAACACAGCTCCAAACACAGATAAGGACATGCTAAAAAATTTGTGAACCGCACAGTTGTTTTACTGCTTCTGCTTCTCTTTCTGTAAAACTCTATCAACATTAATGGCTAAGTAGGGTTTAGGCTGTAAATTTTAAAGATAGTCATGACAAGGAGGCATTACACATGGTTTTGGCTCTCTAAGCTAAGGAGGGAATCCTTTTCAAATAACTGGCAGGGAGCAGCAGGGTGGGGATGGGAGTGGGGATGAAGTGGTTACGAGGTTTTGGCATTCACAGCTGCAGTTGTTGGGAGGGGAGTTACTGTAGATCTGCAGGGGGACACCGGAGATAGAGTGCTTTGGGGCGCCCCCGCTGCTCAGCACTTACGACTGACTCATGACTCACGTCCCACAGATATTCATTCAAACCTCTTTACACTCTCTCTTTCTGCCACTCCCTGAACTTTGCATCAGAAATATTCAGCTATGTACTGTGAGGAGAAAGTGCTGCCCTCGACTAAGCACATGTGGAGGGAGAGATTTGCTTAGTTGTTGCTCTGCCTTTTCCTCTCCTGTGAGGGCCTCTTGACTTCTATGCATGTTGTATTTGCTCTGTTATATGCATGGTAAGAAACACACAGGAAGGCTTCCGCATAGGGGGAAATCATCCAATTCTCCAAATTATGTATCCGATTACAGTTGCCCTCCTATATACATAGCCAGGGATGTATAGTGGGTGCGTGTATAGCCAGTCTATAGACCACATATGGGCAAAATATGACCTGAGGGCTGGGACAGGCTCACAAACCATCTCAGTCCAGCCCATGACATCCTCAAGGGAAAACAAGAAAAAACACCCCCAAATCATTAAGAGGCAGCATTATACTAAGAAATGAGAGTCCTGCAACTCAGACATGTTTTCACTGACGTAAGATAATGTAAGTGTTCTAATAGCACTTTAATTTTATGTTAGTTACGGGTGAGGTGCTTGGCCATTGAGGATGGGCTTGGAGTAGAGGTGTTGCTCCTTCACACTGAAAGGAGCAAGTTGAGGTGATATTCACAATCTCTAACTAGAATGCCTTGTTGATGACATGATTCAGACATGTCAGGCTGGGAGGAGACCCCAGCAAGAGCTCAAAATGCCGCTGACATCCTGAAATATGTACAAAAGCAGCCGCACCACCAGCTCATCATCGCTTGATGTCAACATTTTCCACAAAAACACAGCATGTTCGGTTTGTAAATTTGTTACACGATAAGTTCAAACCTGGGAAATTCTGATTTTCATGTTGCTTTTTTACAACACTCGGTGTGTAATGCCCTTAAAATTCCCGCTCAAACTCTGATAGGTGCATCAGGGGTTAAGCATCTACCTGAGGATACTTCACCGTGCAGATTGGAGGGATCAAGCCACCTAACTTCTGATTGGCAGGCCCCTGATAATTGCCACCCATATAACAATAATTAAAAAAGACTAGAAGTAACAGTGGAACTAATAAAAACGAAACTTTTTGAAACAGTAAAAACTGAACTGAGACAAATAAACCCACTCTCGAAACTAACTCAAACTAAACTGGAAGAAACAAAGAAAGATTCAAAATGAAATAAAAATTAAAAATGATGAAGAATTACAAAACTTTTTAGCTCAGTTATTCAGAGTTTACCTCTTTGCTTGCTCATCCCTGCTTATGGATACAGATTTTAGGAAGAACAATATCACTGTACTTGAAAGAGATGCTCATTTATGAAAGATCAACATTCCTACTCTCACTAGTAGTGAGATATAGGAGAAATGCTCTGTTATTAAAGCTCTTGGAACTTTAATAATAGAGAAGTGATCATATTTTAACGTAACAAATTTATTAGTAAAATGTGCAGAAATGACTCTACTGCAGCTGTTCATGAGGGAATCTCCCACATCAGCAGATATTTCCTTCAAAATGACTCAGAAAGGCATATTTTTAGAAAACGTATTTACTTTTAAAAGAGCAACAGAAGTAGCAGCATGCTCCTTTAGTCTCTGTTGGGTCCGTTTGGGTTGTTGTTTTTTTTACATCTTAAACCAAATGACTTTTAAAGGGATTTTAATTTAAAAGATAATTGATAAAAATAAAATCATGAAAGCTCAGCTGAAGCTGCAGCTTGCTCCTAACATGTTAAATATTTTTTGTAAGATGGTCATATCCTCAGTCAGAACATCTTTAAGTGGTAACATTCTGATAAAGACAACCTCCTAAAAGTTTTTCTGTTCAGCTCATGGAAACAAATACGCACAAACACTGTAAACAACCTGTTGTTTTCTCAGCCAGCGTCATGTCTACATTCTGTTGTATTCTCTTTTTTCACTGGGCTGTTTTCTTTAGAGTAACGCATTGAACTAGAGCAGGGCGATATGACCAAAAATATTTATCACGATATACATTTGAAAATTTGCGATAACGATATAACTGACGATATAATTGACACTAGACAAAATACTTTACAACTCCACAACTTTATTAGTGCAAAAAAACAAAACATCAATGTATTTTCACTTAAACAAGCAGCTGTTTTTTATGTGCATTACAGTTATATAAAAATTTAACAGTGCAAATGCAAATTCCTTGCTGACAGTTTAACCATTTCCAGTGGAAATTGGCCGACATATCCTCAGCATAACCATGTATAATATCCACAAAACTTAAAAAGAGGTTATACACACACAGTACTGTAATATTATGTTGAAGCACAGTACATATCACTCCGCGAGGCGCCTGCCTACGATAGCCGTAATGCTCCGACAATCCATCAAGCGGTGCGGGTTCGTAGCTTAGCAAAGTCCCACTAAAACATTTGACAGATTTTCGAGCGCCGTGTACCACATAAAATCATTTCGAGGTCAGTAAACACAACCAGAATTCATACATAAGGCACACGGGATTATAAGGGGCACTGTCGATTTTCAGAAAAATCAAAGGATTGATTTTAAGTGTGCGGTATTTTCCGAAAAACACGGTAATAACGACGGCTCGCTAGCATGCTCTACCAAAAATAGTGCTTTGTTGTGTATCTGACGGACGAAAGCCAAACCAGTCCCACACCACTGAAGTTGCAGCATTTTTACAAAGCAATTCTGATTCATCCGTTTCATTCAACGATCCACTTTCGCCCTTCTCATACTCTGTCGCCGCCATGCTTTTTCCACCATGTGTGTATGAAAACAAAGGCACTGCGCATGCCCATATTCTATCGCGATATTTCATTTTCTTATTGTTGCCCAACATTATACCGATATTACCGTGATATGATATGGCCCAGCCCTACATTGAACATACTGTAGGAGCCGTGGTTAAAACCGGCTCCACTGCCCAGCAGCTTTTCTTCAAATAGATTTCCACCAGGATTGTGATGGGATATTATTTCAACAATATAGGTATGACCTGCGAGTTTTAGCAACCATCCAGCTTTCTTTTCTTCACCTATTTTTACACCAACAAACTTTAGGGTTTGCGGGTCTAAATGATAGCTATTGTATTGTAGCTTGGGTTACACGCTGTTTGAAAGTGTTGACTCCGTTTGTGTCCGTGTGCTTCAGGATGTTGTCGGAGCTCAGTGAGTGGTTCTGGCAGGAGCGGCGGTGGTTTCCGGAGGGCCTGGGCTGGGCTGACCTGGAGGATCGGGATGGACGAGTGTACGCCAAGGCCCGCGACTTGTGGGTGGCGCTGCCCATTGCCCTCATATTCCTCATTATCCGTCAGATCTTTGAAAGGTCGGTCCATTTTTCACTCTGTCTTATTCTATCTCAGACATTTACCTTTAATGCGTTTATGCATTTCTTTATGTCTTTAATCTCTCCTGACTTTGTATTCAGTTAGTTTGTGCTTTTTTCCCCTCAGTAGTTACTTAATCCTTCTTTTGTTGTGCCCAGATCTATGATGAATAAATTCCCATTGTTTCTTCAGCTGTTATTGTTTTCCACATAAGTGTGCAAACAGCGTTCCTGTTTCCAGGAGCTAATCAGCGTTCATCTGTGTTTCCCTGCTAATGCCAGGAGACTCTGTTCCTCATTGTTTTTCATGTCTACCTCCTATTCAGCCACAGAATTGTCAGAATATACAATAAAAGAAACAGTGTAATCAAGATAACACATTTACAAAAAAAAAAAATAAATATATATATATATATATATAATAGCTTGAATATCGGATTATATAATATTTAATAATCACACCTATGCTTCCTTTCTTTGTCACTGTTTTTTAATCCCAACATGTCACAATTGCAGGATGGTGGCCACGCCTCTGGCCTCGCTGCTCGGGGTTGAAGACACGGTGCGGCTCAAGGTCCCACACAACCCCACACTGGAGTCCTACTACTGTAACATTACCAAAAACCCCACACAGGTAGATACCTCTGGCCTTCTATTGCAACATCATAAAGGCTCTAATGCAGCTCTCGACTGAGTCACTGGAAAATAATCAAATCTGACCTCTTTGTGCTGTTCTCAGTCTTCAGTAGCAAGTCTTTGCAAGAAGACTGGCTACTCAGAAAGACAAGTGCAGCGATGGTTCAGGAGACGAAGGAACCAGGACAGACCGAGTCTGCTCAAAAAGTTTCGCGAGGCCAGGTATACATCCGTGCTCTTCTAAACATATATGACTGCTGTAGAGTCCAGAGAGTGTTCCTCTGGCAATATGAGCACATTTCTGAGGGCAAACGTAGCCCTCTATTTCTGCACTCATTGCAATGTTGCCCCTGCTCTCCACACGCACACACTCACACATCCAACCATGCTTATTAGCACAGGGCCTTTGCAGCTGGGGCTCTGTCACCACTGTTGGTTATTTTTATTTGTAAGCCAACATTTACTGTAACAGAAGCCGAGTTAAACCAACAGCCTGATTACAAGGCTATTGAGGCCAGCTACTACCAGCTGACAGGATTCACAGATACGTACAGTACAATAGACAGCAGATAACATGATACCGATACTAGTACTGACAGCATGCAGATATACTGTCCACTGATATGGATGCAGAGAAATCCTATGATTATATTATCCCATGTGTCCTGTTTGTAAGTCTTTCATGATCTGTTGGCTTGGGTTTTGTTTATGTTTGATGCAGATCTGTGAAAGCTTTTAACTCAAAAGATCAGTTTACCATTTTTACCCAGAAAGCGGTGGACACGCTGTGTACAGTGGATGAAAAAGTCACTGTAATAAGGAGTGAGACAGAAATACAGTTTGTACCCACCACAGGGTCTCTGTAGCTTCTCTGGAGCCTCTGATTGCATCACTCATGAGATGGAGTTGTAGGGGAAGTATTACAGCTTTGTTTTTTCCTACAAAGCTCAAAAGACATGACATTTTTCAGTGCACGCTCACCCTGGAAACCCTTTTCAAAACCGGTTCTCTCACACCCTTTATTTCCGTCAGTTCTTGGTAAAGACATAAATGACATTAATGATGGCACTTCCTGCAGAGATGTTGCTGATAAATATGACAATTACAAAACTGTAAGTGTAAAATCAGGAGGCTCCGATATTAGGGCTGTGCGATATGACCAAAATCTCATATCCCGATATAAGAATTCTATCGTCCAGATAACGATATAAATCACAAAAATGTAACATTTTCTGTAAATTCTGTGAATCTCGTTGCGTGAAGTGTTTCCAGCTGCGCGTCATGTAGCTGGAGTCGAGTGTTTTAACCAATGCATAAAACTATACATTTTTAGACATAAGTTGCCGCTGACGTTTTCTTTATGAGTATTTATTACACGGCGTGCTGCTGGGAAAAGCCTGTTCTAACGTTTGAGTCTAAGGTTTATTTTTTAGCACCTGGCAGCTCTTTTTTTAAATTCTCATCCGTAAATAATCTGCTCTTTCACGTGATTCAGTTTATTTTGAAAAGTCTCAACAGGATCTTGAGCTTTATTGTGAAAGGTTTATGTGGAACATAAACAAGCAGACACGCGATGCTGTTACCGTCGTTGTCGCTAACCACAACGCATAAAAACAGGCGCTTGTCCGTCAGTAGTGTGATTATATAAAATATAAGAGAAAGAGAGAACTTTAAGAAATTAATATAGCCACTACAGTGGCCATCAAAACGATGAAAAAATATTGCCGTAAACAGTTTACTTTGCGACACCACGAAACAAACGATAGCGTAAAATGAAAGATAGACGTTTTTATATCATCATGTGATATATATCGTTATATCGAACAGCCCTAAGTAAGTTTGCCAAGTATTCGGATGGGTTGAAGTTGAACCTGTTTGTTCCCTGAAGAAACTCATTTGTTTCATTACATTTGCATTACTTAGCCGTACGTCATACGTTAGCAACATAAAGCTTAAGCTGTAGTCAAAGTCTCTTCCACTCAAATCTTTAATGAAGTCACACGCATGATCTGTATTTTACTGTTTAAGTATTAGCTCAAAGAAATAATAGAACACCTGCCTGAAGCCGCTGGAAATGGAGTCTGCAGTGCTTTAAGCCTGACTGCTCATCAGCATTTTTGTTACTTGTTCAAAATCAGGCTTTGGCTGCTTGGCTGGAGTCACCATACACTCAGCTTTGACCTCACTCTTTCTTTGCCGCTTTAGCTTTGGTTTAGCTTATTGCACATGTTTGCAGGAGTTGATGTCACGTTAAGAGCAGCTGTGCTTTACACTTTAGCGGCACATTTTTGTCCTTTGGTGCCAGAAAAATGAAAATAATAGTTTTCTTTATCCCACCTCCCTTCACATGAACTGAAAGGACCTGATTTAAGTGGAAGTTCAGTTAACAGCATGTTTTATGATTTTTTTTTCTTTCTACAAAAGCTCTTTAATGATGTGTGTGATACACATCATTAAAGAGCTTTTGTAACACAAATTCGATTAGTAACTGTGATGTGATGCTGAATTTGTGTGTGTCACAACAGCTTTAAGTGGGCTAAATGCTCAAAAATAGCTTAAAATTGCTTTTGAAGTGATTTTGTTTTCCTGGTACACATGATGGGAAAAATAACTACAAAAACCAAACAAATAAAGCAAATAATATTATAGATGTCAGGTATGGGCCAAGCATTTACATTATTTCAGCCAATTTACAGTGATGTGTGTGCATATGTGACGTGTGGGTGTGTATGTGTGGGTGTGTTCAGGCGTGCATGTGACTGCATGCTTGTCGCTCTCTGGTCATGGTGTGTCTTTCACTATGCGGGCTACAGCGTAAAGGCATTTTTCTTGTGAATCGATGTATTGTGGATGTGCACACAACAGGCTTTCTGTATCTCTCCCTTATTCCCCCCACTGGGGTATCTCCCACACTCCCACTCCTTCTCTGTATCCGTGTCTCTGCTGCAGCGTTTTCTGTAGCGTCTTCTCATTACACCTGTATGAGCAGTGACAATGACTTATCACTGTCTCCAGTACAGGGTGTTGTCTAGTGGCTCTCATTGTCTGTTAGCACATATTTGACTGTGTCTGTGTCTCTGTGTGTGCATTTGTGTGTTCCCGCGTGTGTGTGTTGTGTTTGACATTATCAGCAGATTTTCCAGGCAGTTCACGCAGCCTGGCATCTCTCTTTAACTTGTGTGTTTGTGACTGTAAGCGAGAATTTGTGTGTGTGTGTGTGAGTGAGATGCATTTATGTGTCTGCTGGTAGAAAATGTGCCTACTGTCTTTCCTCATTGACTGAGTAGAAAGTGTGTTTGTATGTGTGTGTGTTCTCTTGCAGTTGGAGATTTACCTTTTACCTTCTTGCTTTCATTGCTGGCCTGGCCGCCCTCATCGATGTGAGTACTGCCATGTTAACCTCAACCACTCCTCTTCCTCCTCTCATGCTTTTATGTATATTCATGACCTGTCCAGCCTTTTCCTTTGCCGTGATAACCTCACCTCTCGCACTGTCAGAGGGGGAAGCATTGACTCATCCTTGTGCTGAGTCAGTTGTTATAAATACACCTGTCGTGTTTTGCTGTCTCATTCCCATCCTGCATGTCCTTCCAGAAACCTTGGCTGTATGACCTGAAGGAGATGTGGCAAGGCTTTCCTGTGCTGGTACGTCTCTAGAATCACTAAGTACAATAAATGCACTGCGTATCTGTTCATTAAATTAAGCTCCAGAACAAAAAGGTCCTGGAAGGTAATAAAGTTTCTCCCTGCCTGTCCTGAAATGATGGAAGCAACATGTCTAGAGTGGCTTTTCTTCGTTTCGGTTTCACTTTAGATTTGATTAGTTATAGTGTTAGTTTTAGTGTCTTTAATGGGTGACATTTGTCAAGGTCAGATTTAAGGACTTTAACGCAGGTGTTTTAACATAAACACTTCTCTCACAGTCTCACTGACGATCCCAGACTCTGTGAATATCTGTGCCAAAAGATCCTCAGGCTTTTTATTTTGGTTTAGTAAACTATACTCCCTCGGTTGGGATGCATGACACATATAGATTCAGCTGATACTGGATTGGAGCCTCTTTTGTCTTTAGAATTGCCTTAATTTTTCTTAGCCTGAATTCACCAAGATGCTGGAGGCATTCCTCAGAGATTTTGGTCTATATTGACATAATATCTTCACACAGTTGCTGTGACAATCATGCAGCTTGGATGTGTTAACTGGCACTCTCTGAAGTTAAACCAGACATTAGTCATTTTTAAAATTACGCCAAAATCAATTTCATCAGAGAACATTTAGAAGGTTAATCTGTAATATAGGAAAAAGTACAGCCCCACTTCCCAGTAGTGATTTGCACAAACTGTTATATTGACTTTAAAATTAACGATCTGTATCCTCCCCTTCAGACTCTCTTGCCGTCCCAATATTGGTACTATATGATTGAACTGGGTTTCTATGGATCTCTACTCTTCAGCGTCGCCTCTGATGTCAAACGCAAAGTAAGTGAATTTATCTCAAGAACACAAAGATTTTCTTTATTTAGGAGTACAAAGGATTTGAACAGGAAAAGGAGGAAAAGACATTTGTCTTTCCTCCCAACCATCCATCCATCAATTTTTTGTTGCTTGTCCAGTCTGGATGACAGCGTCAGCAGCCTAAGCAGAGATATCCAGACCGTTTGCCCCCTAGCCACCTCCTCCAGTTCTACCAGTGGAGCACAAAGACATTGCTAAGCAAGCCAAGGTTTGCCCTGGAGCCCCCTCCAGGTGGGACATGACCAGAATACCTCACATAGATGGTGCCCAGGAGGTATCCTATTCAGATGGAACCACCTCAACTGGCGCTTTTCAGTATGGGGGAGTAGCGACTATTCTTTGAGCTCCTTACCCTACCTTTAAGGGAGAGCCCAGCCACCCTTCGGAGGGAGCTCATTCTCATTATTTTGGTCACTACCCAGAGGTCGTGACCATTGGTGACTGACTAGTAAATACACAGCTTCGTGTTCATGTTCAGCTCCTTCTGCTGTGTACAGCATTCGCACATCACTGCAATCTCCTGCACCACTCTTCCCTCACTTGTGAACAAGACCCTGATACACTTAAACTCCTCTATCTGAGGCAGTAACTCAGTCCTGTCCTGGAGTGGGTGCTCCACGCTTTTCCAATTGAGAACTTTGGGAACACATCAGACTTTGAAGTGCTAATTCTCATCCCATATGCTTCACACTCACGCTCAAACATTCCTCCAGAATCCTAAGGTTGACTGACAGGCAGACTCTCCTCTGTCAGTTAGTCTGTTAGTTTAGTGGAGTGTGACTCCCCTGAAGTTGGAACACTCTCCAGTCCCCCTTCTTAAAGAGGGGGTAAGACAGTAAGACAGTCCCAAATCAATGTCCCCAACTTCCATACAGTGCAGAGACGTATCAGCGACAACATTTCCACAACAGTTAGAACCTTGAGAAACTCAGAGAGAATCTCATCCCGTGGTCCATGAGACTAGGTCATACTGAACCCAGCTAAGCCCTATGATCTAAGGGCTAAGGGTGAGCCCATCGACCAGTCCTGCCTCCGGGGCTCCAGTAACCCCAATGCAGGTGAGGTAATGTGGCTCCATAAGCGTCTTGTGAATCACACTTGGCCTGACCTTTCACCTAGAACCAATTTGCCTTGGCAGACCCTACTGGGGACAAATTTTGACTATGTGGCATTTAGGATCATTAGGGCAGACAAACCCCTTTAACATGATAAGGTGGTGGTTGCAAAATGAGTATGTCATTTGTGCAGACACAGTCACTATTGAATCTGTGTGGATATAGCATCATAATTCTGCACACAAGGCTGACAAAGAGTCTTTCGTCACTCTTCTCTGATCAGTTTCACATCTGGCATGGACTGTGAGTGGACATTAGGCTGCTGTGACATGTGTGTGTGTGTTTCAGTGTGCCTTTGTGTGACATGTGTGCGTGTGTATTGTGCGCCTTTGAGTGTGTTTGGCTTGGACTTTGCTCAGCCTAGTCAGCTGAGCACAGTGGGGTAAAAACTCTTGCCAAACTCTTTCACAGTGTGTTTCAGCAGCACAAAGTCTAACCCAGATAATGTTAAGCCGGATGTACTTGCATTCTCATGTACCTGGTTAAAAAATAGTGCACGGTTATATATATATGTGTTCTGTTTCATGTACACGGCATTAATTCAAAAGCATCTTTACCCCCCCACCACCACCACCATCTATCTCCCCCTCTCCAGGACTTCAAGGAGCAGATAGTTCACCATGTAGCAACAATCCTCCTCATCAGCTTCTCCTGGTGTGTTAACTACATCCGTTGTGGAACTCTCATCATGCTGGTGCACGACTCCTCCGATTACCTCCTCGAGGTAAAGCCTCACCTCATTTTATACACTGATGGAAAGCACGTGCCCAAAATCAACTAACCTGTAGCTCGACATATATTTACATCCTGTCATCCTGGAGATATTTTTACTCCGTGAGGTGTGAGAACTGTGTTTGAATGTTGCACAGTTTGCACTGATGTCATTTATCCCTACCACCACTAAGCAGGATGTTTTGGCCTTTGAGTATTCTGATGTTTTTACACTGATCACATACTGCCCCCTGTGGAGGAAAGTGCAATTTAAGTATTATTTGTGGGATATAAACACTTTAGACTTTCATTAATTAGCATGGTTTTTATCAGGTAATAGAAATATTTGTAACCTGTTGCTTTTTTTTCTTTTTCTGTTTTTTTATTAGGGTCATTCCCTTAAGCATTAAATGTATTTTAGTTTGTCAAAGGACCATAAATAGCAGGAATGTGATACTGACTCTTTCCCAAAGACTGTATAAGTGGTGAACATAGATGCCATGAAGTCACCCACTGTTAGCAAAGTCCAGTTAAAAGTTAGGAAGATTTTATCTGAGTGTTTGCCAGACGCAACGAGCGAGGGGTGGAGCTTACTGTGAAAATGGGGGACAGAGCACACAAATCATTAGCCAATAATCTGACACATAATTTATAAAATGAACTTCATGCTTTATTCAGCATGGTTTGAAGTTACTGGCCGAGACCATAAAACCACCAGAAAAGTGTCACTGAGGTCACAGAGGAAGAAATCTGAAGACCAGAAGTCTTTTTGTAATCACAGGATCGCCCCCTGCTGGCCTTTAAAGAGAATGCGTGTTTAAAGCGCTTTCACTTTAGCCTCTGAATCTTTTACAGATGCATTGGCTAAGTTCCTCCTTTATACCACGAATACTCTTTGGTTTTATTACATGCGGGTCATTCATGCAGTCAAGCCCAAGAGGACCCATTTACAAACAGAAAAAGCTATGAATGAAGTTTAAATGTTTTTTTTTCCCCAGAAACTTTCCCCTTTTGATAATTTATTTTTATCTTTTCCACTAACAGTCTGCAAAGATGTTCAACTATGCTGGGTGGAGAAATGCCTGTAACTACATTTTCATTGTATTTGCTGCAGTCTTCATTGTCACCCGCCTTGTTATCTTCCCCTTCTGGTAAGCACACACACATACATATACACAGATTTGAGACAGTCATTTTGACTGCTGCAGTATACCACTGTTTGTCGTGCTTCACTCTCCTTAATCCTCGCCGTTTCTCTTGCAGGATTATTTACTGCACGTGGGTGTATCCAGTCACCATCTATAAGCCATTCTTCGGCTACTACTTTTTCAATGGGCTGCTGATGACTCTGCAGTGTCTACATATCTTCTGGGCCATTCTCATTATACGCATAGCAATCCGATTCCTCACCAACAATGTAAGCAAACCAAAAGAGATCAATTAGGTCAAACAGGAAAAACTAAATAATGCTGCAAAACATTTATTTCTGTGAGTCAAATTTGCACATACGCTCTTCTGAAAAGCTGCAAATCAAAAATGAATAAGGCGTTTGAAAGTCTGAGTTTGTTCTGACACTCTGCAGAGCTCCAGGAGAGCATGAGCAGGAGGTCTCTCCGATTAATGATGATGTTTATATATTTTCATGAGCTTTTCCTCGTGTTCTTCAGGAAAAAGTGGATGATGAAAGAAGCGACAAAGATGAAACAGACGAATCAGAAGAGGAGGGCGACGAGGAGGCAGGAGAGAAAAAGCATATGAAGAAAAATGGCCCGGTGCAGAATGGTCACACAGTCCACAACAACAACCACCGCAAGAGGCAGTGAAATTAAAGTCACGGGATGGAGAAACATGAGAAGGACTTATATCCCTCAGTAGAGGAGCAGGAGGGAGGGACCAGTGATTCCCTAAAACCCAGAACAGCGGGTATCTGAGGAAATTTGGCACTGTTACTTTTACACAACACACATTCATGTTTTTTTAGAGGGCACAGAGATCCAGCAGATGACATACACTACATTAAGTGGCACGGCTCTTCGCTTTGTCATCAGAGGAAAAAAATGTATCACTGCCTTTTGTTTGATGTTAGTCCCAAACGTTTTCAATGAGACGGGGAAGAAAAAATGGAGAAGAGCAAAGTTTGGAGAAGACAGATGAGGGGGCGGAGGAGGTGATGCTGCTTCTACTTTAGCTTTCATGTTCTGACTGTGTGCCTTAGAGCCAGCTGACGGCTACGAAAAAGCCATTTTAAAGCCTTCTGCTTTGAAATTGAGTTGCTTTATTCTTTGTTTGCTTTTTACTAACAGAACAAAACAACTGAAAGTGGGTTATGTGAAGGTGACACAATAGGGCATTTATTTCCCTAGGTTTCTGTCTATGCAACTATCCGTTCAGCTATTGCAATGTCTTTGCACAAAAGTATAGAGTCTCTCATATAAAGTAATAACCTGCAGTAGGACTGTGCTCCTCTGCTCTCCGGTGTGGTTTGTGCCATTTGTAAAGTGTTCTGGTTTGAGTTTAGTAATCAGCAAGATTTTTTTTTAAAGGGGGGGCCTATCGTGCTGGTCCATATTTTCTGTCATAAACTTTTAATAATGGATGTTCACATTAAACATTAAACAAGTTTCAGATAATGAGGTCTGTGCATGTGCAGGCATTCCCTGTGAGCCAAAAGCTCAGACTTTGCGTTACTCTAAATGCTCTATTTCAGGTAGTTTTTTCTACCCCTGCATCTGTGTGATGTCACAAAGAGAGGCTATCCCTAATATGGTAATCTTGGGCACACAGCTCTACCCACTTAGTGTTAAAATCTTTTGTTTACAAGAGGCAGCCAATCAGAAGAAAGCTGGCTCATACCTGATTTATGGCACTGTGTTAAAAGTGTGACCTAGCCAAGAACCTCAGAAACTGCAACACATCTGTTTGGCAGTGATACGCAGTGTAAACTTAGTATGCTGTTAGCACAAGGATAAAGCATTAGTTGAACAGCATCTAATAGGCCTTAATTGTATCTAGCTTGCCCCTTATACTATTAGAAATATCTAGTATTGTGCCAGATTTATTAGCTCGGTTTTACTCATGTTGACAGTGACAGTGCCTGAGTATGAACGCGAGCATCACCCGCTGCAGTGGAGATTCAGCGCAGTACTATAAACCATGCTTCAAAGGGACCTGGCAGGTAGCTAAAACCGCTTCTTTCAAGATAACCCATGATTATTCTGAACTGTGAATCATGCAAAGCTCCTCTAGCAGAGTCCCAAGAATAAAAATATGGTGCTGGAAAAGAGCATAATATGTCCCCTTTTAACTTCTGTTCATTCCTAATCCACCAAGGCTCACTTTGTACAATTCCTGCTTCCAGTAGAGTCATCTCCAGAGTTCAACAGTTCTTTGGTGTTTAGGCTATAAAAGAGCCAGAAATGAATATAAACTCCGATAGAAAACTTGAACTAACTGCTAAATAACTTTTTCCTCTCTTCTTCAGCTCAAGCAGTTTTGCATTGACGATGCCACCCACTGAAGAGCGATGACTCAATGCGAATGGGTGTTGCTCTGTTGAAATGCTGGAGTTTCATTAAGTACAGTGGAGCAGGACGGTTTCGCAATTTCAGATTTCCCGAGGTCACTGCCCAATAGTCTGGGTTCTGATTGTTAACCCGGCTGCAAATTTAAAGTGTTGATCTGAGTAAATTTTTTAAGTATCATTCTGGGTATTAAATGTGTTTACAGGTATGTTCTTTGAAACTTTTATTTTGTTTTAGTTTTTAGATGAAATCATGAAATGAGTGTTACAGAGTTTTGTTGCTCTAAAGCTTTGTATGTCAAGTGCCTTACCTGTAATGTATGGGAAGCTCTCCTTGTCTTCATGCCCTCTCCTTTTCTTTCCTGTTTCCACCTCACATCATAGATCCAACCTGCTACATGCTCTCACGTCTTCTCTTCTTTATAAAATGCCTTCCTTTCAAACTCACCCTCATTCCACTACCACGTTCTTTTTAACTAACCCCCAACCAACCAGCAGCCTCTCTTCCCCAGTGATACAGAAGAAACAGCTGTGTCCTAATTACAGTGTTATTATTATTTTTTGTCTGTTTTTTTGTTTAATGATGCCTAAGTATTGTTATTAATGGTAAAATCAAAGATCATGAATCACAATGAAACCAAGTTGAATTTGTGGTTATTTTCGCATTCATCACGGCTAATCCTAAGTAAATCAGTCCTTTTATAATAAGAGTATATTATATATACAAGGGAGTCACACTCATTTTTAATTACATCGTGGACAATATAAATTCATTTTAAGTGGGCTGGACCAGTCAAACTTTCACCTAATAATCTATATTTACACACACAAGAAAAAGCTTTGAGCATAATAAAGCTACTACAGTTAGTCCCTGAGGTAAAAAAAAAAAAAAAAAAAGTTAGTGCAATAGACTCACTTTTACACATTAAAAATAAGTGCTGCGTTTAGAAAATCGAAGAAATCCACCACTGCTCTGTGACTAATTTGACCAAAGATGTAAACATTTAAAGAAAATGCACCATCAGCTAACTGAACTACCTGAACTTTGTCCTATAATTTAAAAGCTTGCATTTTCTGATTATTTGCAGAAATGTTCTGTTTTTGCAGTGCAAACACTGTACAAACTAAAATGATATAATAAAATGGGTGATAAAGTCGTGCACTAGGTGGCGCTGTCACCTCATAATGACATCCTCAAGGGTTTATGCAGTTTAATATTAAGAAATTGAGACATTTTTTACTGTGCATTGTTGAGCACTGTGACTTTGCTAACGAATAAAGTAGTTGTATCCACTGCATGTATAAAACTTTATGTGCAATGGATGGTTTTAATTGTGGGGTATTGGAGCTTATGTATAACTATAACTAATCAACTTTCATTTGATTAGCAATGTATCCATATTTTACATTATTGTGTCACACATAAAACAGTAGTACCAAAGGGACTGCTCAGGTTAAGAAAGGCTGCGAAAAAGAGGAAGACTATGGAGAAGATTCGTGGATGTAGTGATGGAGGAGATGAAGATGTCTGGTAAGACAGAGTATACCTGGAAAAAGGTGAGAGGGAGGCAGATCATCTTCTGTGGTGACCCCCCTTAAGGAAGCAAAAAGAAGGACAAGTTGAAGCACTAAACAAACAATCCAACATTTAGAAACAGGTAGCAGGGTATAAACACAAAATTTATTAAATCGCCGTTTAATTCTTTGATCTAAGCATTTCTGGACTATTTCACGTCCTTCGAGTTGTTAAATTTGCCACCTTGAGGAGCAGGAGAGATGATTCCTATTCACAGCCGTGCAGTTAAAATATTGTAGGCGTTAGTGTGAACCACAAGTTTCAGTCGAACTGGTTATGCATCAAAACCCCGTCACATTTGCATCATGCACCTCTGTCTGGAAAGCGGTGGAGCTGCAGTTCCCTCCGCTGCCAGCAGGGTTTGAGGTAGTGACGTCATTGGTGTCGTTTACACGGTAGCTTTAGCCCTGCTAGCGAGAAAAACGCCATCTTAAGTTGACGGGGGGTTTAAACGGAGTGAAAACAGGGAGACAGGCACTGAGGAGGTGAACCTGTTATTTTTTTTATGATTAAAATTATCTGAGTCACCCGGACTAGTGTTAGTCATGGTTTGAAGGCCTGAATAAACGCAAAAGGAAAAAGGGCGAGAAAGTGAGGAAATCAGCAAGATACTAGCTACCCATTTAGCTACCTAGCGAACAGGCAAGGGGGAGGGCCGGGGTAGTTGAGGATTTTTTTTTTTTTTCGGGTGAAGCTGAAGTTTTTGTTTATGTTATTCCACGCGGAGATGTCTTCTTCAAATGCAGGTAAGGTCAACTTTAAGCCACAGGGACGTTGTAGTCACACCCCACACTGCAGCTGTTAACCAGTTATGAGGGATTTCTTGAGCGGAGCTTTAAGCTGACACTTTCCCAATGATAGCGTGACAGCGTCGGCTAACTTAGCTCCGTAGCATGGCTAGACTTGTTATTGCACAAACATGCTAACTAGCGCACATTAGTTAACGGTTATTGTGGCTCTCCTTTCATATTTTGCACCACTAAAAGAGTTAGGCTGAAAAGCCAAATCTGAGTTGAGCAAACTGTCAAGTTGCAATAGGCTGACGCTGTTCAAATGTTTCGTTTTTAGACAATTCTGTGCACAAGATTGTATCTGTATGCTACGTGTAGCTTTGAGGTTAGCCCCGAATCGTAACGAACACGAACCAAGAGCAGATGAGGTTAATTTTCTATAATGTGGCCTTGAAATCAGACACATGTACGCTGATGTTATTTTGAGCTCCGATTACAGGCTCCTGGCGGTGGTTGAGTTTGTTTTTCAGTGCTTCAGGCATAATAGGAAATCACTTGTCATCTTTTTTATTGCGCCTCTGTGTTGCCCTGTGTTATTAATAGAGTTACAAGACCCAGATCTGGGTATGGGGGCCAGTGGGACCCAAACAAGTGGTGGGGCTGTTGTACCAAAAGGGAGCAACAAAAGACGAGCTGCGTAAGTGTGTGTGTGTGTGTGTGTGGGTGTGAGAGAGATACTGTTAATTTTTGTGCTGATGTATCCATATTGTGCTATGCACATTTGCTGACTGGCTGACTTTTGTTTCTGATCGTCGTGGTTGAAAATTCTGGTGGGAAAAAAATGTGTGAAACTGTGTCAGATTGTCTTGTTTCTCCTCTCTCGCAGGCCAGACTTTGATGATGTTGATGGAGACAAGATAAGCAGGTATGTTTGTGTGAGTTAAGCTGGGCATCGAGGGTTTAAACTGGCTGCATTATAGTAAAAATCAATCTGGTTCTCTTCTTTCTCTTCAGGTTTGACGATGACACAGGAGGCTCCAGCAATGATAAAGAGCGCTTTGCCAGGTAGGAGGATGAATTTAGAGGAATGGACATATAGCAAGGGAATATAGCAGAACATTAATATAGATGCAGGAGCAACCCCTATGCCCGTCTCCCCACTTCAGGTTTTTTTTGTTTTGTTTTGTTTTGGGTTTTTTTGAGGGGAGAGGTCATCTTGCACTTCTTTCGTTTCGGTAGTGACTTTGGGCCTGTTTTTTTTAGTGGGTTGGTTTCATTTCCAGGTTTTTGGAAGACGATCAGAGTTTTGCAGATAAGGAAAAACTAGCCAGGTATGGCCTGTACCACTGTGGAAGGCTCCCTCTCCTGCTTGTATTCATATTGATATTGAATGCAGTGATCAAATACTTTCCTATCCTGCTGGGATACCAGCGCATTATTGTTTCAACAGCACAAAATTACCCGTATATTTTGCTGCTTTGCGTCTGTTTTGGTGCCTTCAGAATGTTTTGCTTATTTTCCCAAAGAGGCTGGTTTCCCCTTTCAACCCACCACTATGTTATGTGTCACTAACTGCTACACTGTGCAAGTTAAGGATTTTTTTCACTCCAATAACCCCTTCCTCTTCAGCAACTATCCTTTCTGTCTGTTTTGTCCCCCTCTCCCCTCTCAGGTTAACTGAAGGGTCTTTCTCTTTCGGCACTTGCTCTCTTTTATCACACAAACTGGCCTTGGAAGACCAAACTCTTTTGCTTTCTCACGTTCATTTTTTAAATTTCTTTTTAGATCATTGACTTCACATTATTGTTTGATACGTTCATTACACGTTTCACCTTCTTGCACTCCCACTTCTTCTTCCTGATTGGCATCTTTACATTGCGACATAAACTCTAAACTATACTCGTTGTCCACCCGCCCATCTGTTTCCCCCTTCTCGATCCCTCCTCTCCACCTCTGTCTCATTCATTTCCTCACTCCAGGGAGAACCACAGTGAGATTGAAAGGCGGAGGCGTAATAAGATGACTGCTTACATCACAGAATTATCTGACATGGTACCCACCTGCAGTGCACTAGCGCGGAAACCAGACAAACTAACCATCCTGCGAATGGCAGTTTCTCATATGAAGTCACTTAGAGGAAGCGGCAATACCAATGCAGATGGGTCGTACAAACCTTCATTTCTCACCGACCAGGTATGAGAAACGGAAGGAAGTTCAGATTTGAAATGCCTGCTAAAATTTAAAAAACCCTTACTATTCAGGGAAGGCAATACCTGTGACTATGTGACAGTATTACTTATGTAAGAGTTGTTAATATAAAGGTTTCACAGTCACAGTTAACCTCACACTGTGTAACACTGAAATCAATAGAAGTAAAGGATACTGAAAGTAACACCTTTTTAAACATGCTTGTTTTCTCACGTTGTGGCTGTTGGTTAGCTTTTACTTTCAGTAACTTTCCTTATTAGGTAGTCGGTAAAGTTTAAATTAGTAATGTCAAAGGTTATGTTCATTTTTATTTTAACCATCGTTCATTTAGACACTTGTTTAATTTGTTAATTGTTCAAAAACCCAACTATTAATATGCCTTGTGTTCAAGTGAGCCGTGTACACTTGTATATTATGCAGAACTTGTGTGTGTTGTGTATGTATCTCTTACATTGTAAAGCTTAGTTGCATGCTGCATCAGCTTCCACACTGCTGTCAGTGGTAGAATCGGATTTGATTGGCTGTCGGTTGAAAAGTAAAACTTTTGTCACCTCTGCGCTGCAAGCAAACCAACAGACTCACAATACTGTTTTACAGTGCATTATGTCATCTCATCAAAGGTGAATTAGAAATATGAAAGTTCACATCTGAAATGCATGCATGCATGCAAGTGATGAAACTAGGGATGTGCACAATTAGATGACTAGATGTTTAAATATTGCTGATATCATTATAGTTGAAGAAATGATTTCAAGAGTTGTGTGGTGTTTTATTTAAGTTTTCTGAATTTGGTGGGCTTACCAACCCGGAGAGTGGGACTAGAAATCTGACCCTGAACCACTGAAAAAGCATGGCATTAATACTGATACGCAAGGGGATAGGAAGACACAACAATCAGTGGGGTTTAAGATTTACATGTAAAGGTTAAACAGAGACAGAAACATCAAAGGTTTGGAATACAACAATGGGGTGACAAGATGAAAGACTAAGATATATACACGTGAAACAAATGGCTGATATTATCTGAGGGGCAAACGCTCCAGCGGTTAGGCAGCTGTGTTCTGGTTGCAGGGCTCATATCCAGCAGCAGTAATTTTTCACCTGAATGTGACACAAGTCAAGATTTTTCAGTATTTTTCAAGCAACAAAAAGTAAAACAGAAGTGCAAGCCAATCATGGTTTGATAGTTTCTGATGGCTTTAAAATGCGTATATAGTGGTAGTATGAACATTGTTTAACCTCATCCACTAGATTTCTGCTCAACAGTTTCTCTTGCCTTATGTTTTCTTACTTTTAAACTTATTGGCTGTAAATGCGTAAATGAAACAATCAGATTTCTACTCTACCAAGCCAATAGCCAGGTAGCCAATGTTTCTATACACTCTTCCCATAGAAGTGTTTACACTTCTAACACTTTTCTGCATTTTTACAAATACTTTAGATTGATACCTCCACAACTGATCTTTGACCTTCACTGCTCACTGTCTGTCTGTAGGAGCTTAAGCATCTTATTCTGGAGGCTGCTGATGGCTTCCTGTTTGTGGTGTCATGCGAGACGGGGCGCATTGTTTATGTCTCTGACTCCCTGACCCCAGTCCTCAACCAGTCACAGTCTGACTGGCTCGGATCCTCCCTGTATGATCAGCTCCACCCAGACGACAAAGACAAGCTTCAGGAGCAGCTCTCCACTGCAGAGAATAACAACACAGGTATAAACACATTCTAGGAGCAGTTTCACAGTCATGAGGGAAAATGTGTGTTTCATTTTGTGAGCACAGTTCAGTGTTGTCTTTGCCCTCAAAAGGGAGGATGTTGGACTTAAAGACAGGAACAGTGAAGAAGGAAAGTCAGCAGTCATCAGCGAGGATGAGTATGGGAGCTCGTCGATCATTCATCTGCAGAATGAGGTGATTAACAGTTATTAAGATAGTTTATGATTGTATTGAAATGTGTAGCAGAATGCACAGTTTCATGTGGTGTGTTGGACTGTTTGTGTTTGCAGGTGTGGCACGTGTCCAGTGGAACCAATGTCAATGAACAGACTGCAGTTTCTTAGGAACAGAAACAGGTGACCAAAAACAAAAAGATCTTCTTTTACAATCTTATTGAACTTACTGTGCAGAGAACAAGCATACCTAACATATACCAGCTGTAAATTCATATTTTCATTGTCTTTACTTCTTCAACCTAAGAAATGGTTTGGGTGCAGCCAAGGAAGGGGAACCACAGTATGTAGTGGTGCACTGCACAGGATACATCAAGTCCTGGCCCCCTGCAGGTAAAACTAGTCCTCCTCAGTCTTTAGATACATGAGCATCTGTTATATTTGCTTACTTATATGCAGAAGACCTCTTTACAATGCTTAAAAGCACAGAGCTAGATTGAAAAAAAGAAAAACTTTAATCCTTTATATTTTGTCTTTCAGGAGTATCATTAACAGATGATGAAGCAGACAATACTCAGGGGAGTCGCTACTGTCTAGTTGCTATTGGGAGATTGCAGGTACAGTGGATGTCTTGTGGTCCCATGTCTTTTGCTGTGAGGTCAAGTAAACGGGCAAATGTTTCGTTGATATCAAAGTGCAGTAACCTTTGATCCTCAAATCATCAGAACATAAATAAAATTAACTGTGCGAGTGGTGGAAGATAGATTTATGAGGTGGAAAAAGCGGCATTTTATTTTTTTATTAGTGTTTTATCTGAAGGTGATTTTGCACTAGTTAGTTGAAGTCATTGTGAAACACGGATTTAATTAAGAACTTCTGTGTTTTGTTCTGTTCTTGCTAGAACAAAAACTGATCTGAAACTGAAAATGTAAAAAATCTAATCTTACTCATGCTCATTGCAACTTTGATATTATCTAAGTTTTTGTGTCTGGGTTTTTATTGCCTTTTATTTTTGACTCTTCTGCAGGTTACTTGTTGTCCTGGTGACACAGATGTGAACAGTATCAGTGTTCCTGTGGAGTTCATCTCCCGACACAACTGTCAGGGCATGTTCACTTTTGTAGATCATCGCTGCTTGCCCGCTGTTGGATATCAACCCCAGGTGAACATAGCTGGCTAAAGTGCCAGGGTTGCATTGCATTTCCTCTGAAAGTCTTTATCAGAAGTTAGTTTTCATGTCCTGTAGAGTAACCACATTTTCTTTTGTTGCAGGATTTATTGGGGAAGAGTATCCTAGACTTCGCCCACCCTGAAGACCAGGGCTTACTAAGAGACAGCTTTCAACAGGTGAATTAAAACTCTATTAATATATTTGTGGTTGCATTGATCCACCATTTTCAAATTCAAATATGAAACACACTTTGCCTTTGGGTGTCTGCTCATACAGAATACCAGCTCAATGGGGTATCACTGTTAGATTTATAAACTGTACCTCCTGACTTTGAGAAGGAGATTGGGAATCATATTATGTTAGATGGGTGAAAAAGGGTGTTACACCAAGAACCTGGGTGTAATTGCTTTGTCACTAGCAGATTGTCGTGGTTGCCCCTAGTTTGCATGGAGGACAGTTTTGCCACCACAGTGTTTGCAAACATCTTGGTGTTTTCCATGCACACCACTATTAGTCTAGCTATTGCAGCCTGCTAGTGACCAAAATAATTGCAAGGAGGTTGTCCGTGCAATGATGTATACCTCTTTACAACCAATTTCACTCAAGCTGTAACAAGCAATCACTTGTCAACCAGTCAAGGAATACATATTTTTTTCCCTTCAGCTACCAGTGGCTGCTACGTGGTTGCCATCTTCAGTGCAGTGTCAGCCATTCATTTGCTGAATTCTGTTGTCACTGCTTGTTTTTCCCTTTCCCTACTTTCACCTGCTCTCTCCCTCTCTCCCTCCCTCTCTCACTCACACACACACGCACACACACGCGCACACACATACATGCACACACACACGCACACACATGCACACTTCACGTTTGGCTTGCCATTAAAAGTGTCGTAATTTCAATGGATCTGATGACGGCTCCTTAGCGAGAAAGAAAAAGAGCTGCAGTCTGAGGCTTTCAGCTGTGTTTAGTCACGCTAATACAGTTTGTAGTTAAGTAAAAAAAACAAAACTTTTTTAACCACATAAAGAAAAGCTGCACCTGGACTTTCATCATGGAAGTGGACATGATGAATGTCTACATGAGGCTGAGGAATAGCTTAACAATAATTCTTTGTAATGCCAAATGGCTTGATAATGTTGTTTATTTTCAGATTTGTGGTGTGAATAAATGGCTACGGTTCTGTTGCATACTGGTTTAGATATTTGCTTGGCAAGCAAAAGGTTGCTGGTTTAATTCCAGCTGGAGACACAGATACCTTTGGGTTTACATCAGGAAAGCAATCCGGCGTAAAACTGTACAAATCAAAAGTCACGATGAGGCTAATAAAAGTATCTTATAGTATAAATGAACTGCTATCAGCATGATCTTGAGCAACAGAAAACTTCATAGAACTTTTAGCCCTGTCTAAAACCACTTGGATGTTAACTTTAAATAGTTGGATCCTTGTTTTCTTTTGTTGTATATGAGAAACACAGGTTATTTAACCTGGATGATGTTAGAGAGAGATTTCTCTTGAAAGTTTATTTGCATTTTGGTAATTTATTTCCTTAACTACATAAATTTTAATTTACATGTCTGTGTGTGGATGACAGAGGCTCAAAATGGGGGCAAGCATTGCTGCAAGAGCAATGTAGCAAAAATGGAAGATAAGATCTCAGAACATTCAAAGTTAATGGTGCAAAGTCAGACTAAAACTGAAACTGACCATGCAAGTATAAACTGTCCATTTTCCACTGAAGAGCACTTGTCTGATTGTATTTGCTGCAAGAGAAAATGTTCTTTCTGCAACACCAGATTCAGCAGTAGACACTGTTGTCCCATTACCTTTGTAACCCGATATCTTCCAGTCACTCAGTTTCTGTGTGTGCATGCAATCCTCCGCTCATTGCTTATGAAAACACCACAGTATGAATGTTTGGCTTGTTGGATGTGTGTGTCCACAGGTGGTTAAGCTGAAGGGTCAGGTTCTGTCAGTGATGTTTCGATTCCGCACCAAGTCGAGAGAATTTATCTGGATGCGAACCAGCTCCTTCACTTTCCAGAACCCGTTCTCGGAGGAGATCGAGTACATCATCTGCACCAATGTCAATGTCAAGTGAGTCAAGCAGACATGATTACACAATCAGATCCAGCAAATAACGAAAGCATTGATGTTTTTCACCGTGTCTGTGAGACATTCCTCTGTGTGAACGCTTACAGTTCCTCTTACATCCACAACTACCACAGCCGCTTTTAATAAACCACAGACTCATCACTCTCTCCCAATACTTCTCCTCTGCACCCACCAATGATTGTGGGGCAGTAGAAACTCAGCTCAGGACCCCCTCACTCCCATCTCCTCCCCTGGGGCTTCGATGCCCCCTTCCCTGGGTCAGAGCAGCCCAAGTGGTCCTCCTGTAGTGCTCAGTCCGGGCCAGATGGCCACCAGGTGAGACCAGACCTGACCTCCCTATCCTCTCCCTGTTTGGGAGAACAGGGGCTGCTTCTTCATGGGAGACTTCTGCTGTTTCTAGCAAACTATAGTTCTTCTGTTTTTTTGTTTTTTTGTGTGTTTTTCCCACTCTGGGTGATTCTTCCTTTCTTCATTTCTGTAGTAATGGAATAGAAGTGGTAAACTGGAGCATGTCTTATTTTTCTTTTATTATTCTGAGTATTAAATATACTTTAAAGAGGTGAGCTTTTGGCATAGGTGGTGTGGCATGTTAGCTGTATGTACTCTCACATTCTTCTCCTGACACCTTTTGTGTTCCCACGGTGGACGGTGGTTGACGGTGGTGGGCTGAGTGCTAGTTTGTCAGCAGGTGTTTGGGATTTCTAATGCAACAGTTAAGAGCATGGGTTTGTGGAAGTTATGGTATATTAGGCCGACTTCAAATAACAAACCCTCTCTTCTACTTTTTCAGACAGCTACAACAACAGCAGGCTGACCTGGAAGGACGAGATGGTCCATATGAACCAGGATCAATGACCCACCCACAGGTCAGGGAACACGACTGTACCACTTGACTGAAGCATACACATTTCCTGTTTCTTTTGAGTTTCTTTTTATAGAAACAGTGGCAGGATGTAGATTGTTTGCTTTCCAGGAAAGCACATCCGGATGTTGGTAGAATCATCACAACTGCCTTACAACTGCCTGCTATTCTTGCTTGAGTCAACTGCAGTGCTTTCTGCTGTAGCACTTAGTCATTTTTAGCAGAAATTATTATTTTTTTAATCATGACTCATGTGAATTGTGCAGATATGTTACAGAGAAAATATTGAGGGCAGTGGGAGAATATCAACTTCTCAAATGAAATGGTGTAGGTCTGAGCACAGTTTTGTGCTGCATTCTTTGTTGTTGTTGTTTTTTGAGAAGCTACAAGGATGTTTGTTTGCATTTAGCTTGAGCTTTAACCTCCTAGTTGCAAAAAGACAGCAGTGAGCAGGACAGTGCCATAGATAGTCCAGCAAAACATAGCTGGACAAGTTGATTGGTGAAAACCGCATCAACAATTTCACCTGTGAAACTATATGTGGAACGTGACATTAAAGTAAAAGTCAAATTCCTTCATCTAACCAACGGTGTGATAAGAAAATGTTTTGCAGCTGCTTCCATCCACTGTCATCTGGTTTTCAAAACAAGAGCACAACTGACTCAATAATAAGCAAACGTCAAAGCTGTCTGTAGGCAGATCACCTGCTATATCTGTAAATTTGGAAGGTTTTCTTGTAAAGTTTGCCATTCTAGCTGTGATACCTGCAGCATGTAGGAGTGAGTTTGAAGAGAGGCACAGCATTTAGTCTGCTACATCTAATATATTTTTCTGATAAAGAAAATATTTATTTATCCCATATTTACGATTAGTCTTTTAAGTGTTTATATTTGCTTGTGCTGTTCTTGGACTTACGACAGCCATCATCAGCTAGCCACCTATATAAGCAGCACATCAGCATGTGGTGATGGGCGTGTAGTTTCTATGTCTCAGTAAGTTTGTGCATATTTTCAGTGTCTGACAAGTGGAAATAATTGATTACAGAAACCATTAAGAATTGCATTGATAGTAAACCTCGGGACATTCTTATTAGATGGGCTACATCATAAAACACCAGTGGCAGAAATCACCCAAAAAGCGCTGGATTTTCTGTATACGCCAAACAAAAGCCTTGCACTTTTTCTTTTTTTTTCTAAGCCATTTCTAAACCAGGGAGTGTTGTCTAATTGACATGTGAGATATGAGGAAGTTTGCTGCTCTTTACAGTGCAGTTTCCTTATTTTGTCATTAGCAATTCATACCTCTGTTTATACATTAGATCAGTTTTCATTCAAACTCACAACTAAAAGGAATTAATTTAGTTATCATGTAACCTCTTAATCTTTGGTTATGAAAACTGCAATAGGTAAAACATAACACAATTTATGAATCAGAAATAAGGTGAACTACAAGCAAGATAGCCAATGGTGGTAAAGTAAAGCACTATTAGCAATAAACTGGATTCCAACTCTGGGTCCCTCATAACTTTTAGGCTTTTCAGTCAATTTAGTGCCAAAGCTGTGAAAGCTAAACTGACTGCAGGATAGAAAAATGGCGCAGCAGATGCACAATTGCAATTAGAAGTAAAGTATCCACAGGGAGCAGCGAGAACATGTCAATATTTGCTTATTCTTAGATCTGACCAAATGGTGGAAGCAGTGGCGTCAGTTAAACTGTAACTGCCATGGAAAGCTGCCAGTAGCGGTTACTAGGGCAACAGAGTATTCACAACCGACAGTGGTACACACAAATGTTTATTAGATGGTCCACGTTCACAAGCAGCTGTTTTTGTGTTGGCAGCAGCAGTTTTTACATCACCCTCAGTGTGCAGTTTTACAGACTTGCAGACTTGCAGCACGGGCCAGTCGTTCACCTCACTTACTGAACATGTGTAGATTAACAACATATGAGCATATAAAAGAAAAACAGTTCAGTCATAACATTTTAGTTGGTTTTACTGATACCGTTTGTATTGTGTGGGACCTTTTTGCTAGTTTTAATGTCCTTAATGTTTTTTGTTGTCCTCATGCTACTGTGAACAGAGGCTGGTCTGTTACAAACCAGACCTTTAACTTGCCCAGCACTGCAGGCATCAGTTATTTTCATTATTGATCACCAGAATGTTTACAGTTTATGTTTTGAGCCTGCTCTTCTTTAGTGTAACTCTAGACTCACGCCTTTTTTTCTTTTTTTTGGGGTTGGCTTCAGATGCAGGTGCAGCCAGTCACTGCAGCAGGGCCAGACCACAGCAAGAGCATTGAGAAACCAGAACTCTACCCTTCGCTTTTCCAAGGGCAAGATCAGACCAAAGGCCTTCCTTCCTCCACCCCTACTCCATCCACCCAGATCTACGCCCCAAACAACAACTTTGCTGCTGGTCGTTCCAGCGATGCATACAGGTAGCAAGTGTTCTGTGTCCGTATGTGTACCTTAGTCATTGTGAGGGCTGCTCAGTGTTTGTGTGCTGTTGCTTGTGAATATATTTACTCTTAGACATTTAATTTCAGTTACTTAGAAGTGCATAGCTATTTCCCCCATAAACAAGCACTTTTGTAGCTTCGTTTAGTTGATATAGGACTAAATTAGATTTTATTATCACCTTGGGATGATGTAAAGTTAATGCTGTGAACCTTACTGTAGTAAAAATTTAGAAATGTTTATTATCTACCAACTGGAGGCAAGGAGAAAAACTCCCAGTTACTAAGTTGTAAATCTTCCACTGTGTCTGGAAAAAAGCTTTAAGTTGATGCAGAAGATGCCTGGCAAAGATTATAGGTCCTTTCAAAATCTGCTCTTCAAAGCACAGACTGAAGTAGCTATACTCCCTGTTCTCCTGACTTTAAAATTTGCTATACTTTTTTGTTGTTGTTGTTGTTGTAAATGTTTGTCATGTCTTATTTAGTAGATTTCCAATCACATTGAATCAATCATAACATATAAGATAACTTGTATATCATGTCCTAACAAAGTACTGTGTGTATATATGGCCTTAGAAGCGGGTCAGCACGAATACAGCACCTGCAACAGCAAGACCGAACTGAACTACAATCAGAAAGTCAGATGATGGAATACCATTAAAAGCTTTTCTAACATTTTTAGTTTCATCCCATCATCAAATTAGCAAAGTTAGCTTTAGTGCAACTCTGTTATCACTCATTGTATTCCCGAGAGTTGGGAGTGTCATAAACAGTAAAAGGAATGCTTATGACCGGCAGTAGATGCAAGAAGATGTCACTAATGCGTCTTTTCCCTTTGCACCTACTTGACTTTTCTCTTCTCCGTTTTAGTCGTTTTCCAATACAGTTGAGTACCACATTACAATTGTGGTTGTTATAGCAAGGGAACCTGAAATTCCTGTCATGTCATTTATATGAGACGCAACACAACAATGGAGGGCATGGAGGCAATGGTATAAATGCTGCTCGGTCTGTGGCTTTTTGTCAGTCTCCGGGTAAAAGAAGAGAGCCAAAAAGCATGTGTGGCCATGTCCCTCGCTGCTGGTTGTTTGTTTTTTTGTTTTTTTAAATGCCCAGTTTTATTCTTGTTCCACTCTCATGCCCCATCCAATGGCATCATACCTGGTACCGGATACTACCCCCTAATGGAAAAAAAATCCTAAAAATCTATTGGAATTATATCGAGCCAAGCAGGTGCTAGTGGAAAAGAGCCTTAACAGCAACCTCTGTGGTTAGCACGCCTTCTTATAATGTTTGCCACTAACCTTTGCAGACTCTCAGCAAATACGTTTTCTTTCCCTTTTAGAAGCTTTAAAAAAAATTGTTTGCCAAATCCAACACTGGCAAAAAGTGGAAATGAAGCAGTGAAATGTTGACATGCAGTGATGTTGTCAGGAATTATTGTCCATCAAATGTATTTGCGTCACAATATTGGCGAGACAATGCCACCAAAACACTTACACATCTGAAACCTGTCTCCACAGAGATTATGACAGAATGTTGGGCTCTGATCTGATTTTTATCCCTATGCATGTTGTCACTTTTCTCCATAGACCAGTCAATATGAATCCACAGATACCGCAGCCCACCCACTCAGCCTCAGCAGGACAGATCTTGGCTCAGATTTCTCGTCAGAACGTAGCCCCACAGCAAGTTAACCAATCCAGTACGACAAGCCCCCTCCATGGAGGCCCAACAGGCGGGTGGCCTGGGGCTGGACCTGCAGCCAGACCGCAATTTAATAACCAGGTAAACTAGTATAACCAAATTGTGTGATTGTGTTTGATGGCATTTTTAGTCATTTTATATTCACAAAAAAAGACACTATAAGGAATATGTTTACATGCCTGCTTGGTTATTGATCACATCATACTACCTAAGGGCTAGTAAATTAAGAAATCTGTTACTTTTCTACCCAGCAGGTGGCTCCCCAGGCGGCAAAGACCATGTCGCCACAATTTACTCCCATGGGAGGGTTTGTAGGCGGCCCTACCAACACTTTTGGCCAGATGCCAACAGGTGCTGCTCCCATGCCTACAGGTGCTGCTCCCACTGTCACCAGCGGCACAAACTACTCGCAAATGAATGCTCGTGCAAGCCTCAACAACAACGGTTTTGGTAGGTTGTGTGTATATTGTGTGTGGGGTTTTTTCTTCTTCTTTTTTTCGTCTTCTTCTTTGTCTTTAGTTGTACTGGTCTGTAGTCTCAATCTCTTCTGCACTCCTGTCCCAGATGGCTCTCAGTCTGGGGCACAGTTCCCTCCTCGAGCAGCAGAGGCAGTGTGGCCCCAGTGGCAAGGCCAGCAGCATTCACAGAGTAATTCAGAGCAGGGCAACCAGCAAGACATCTTTCCTGTGAGTGACACAAGCTCATTCAGTTTTAGATGTTGTTTTACTTTTCTATTCTATGTCACATTAAATAAATCTGTTTCTTTTATTTGACTCAGGATGTGTTGTCTATGTTGGACCAGCCTGCCAACTTCAGCAACGAGGACTTTGAGATTCCTATGTACACGCCATTTAACGAGTGACCTGGAAATACTTCTGTCGTCTTGCCTAAATCACGGTTTCTTATATTTAGCTCTTCTCCTCGTCTGTTCTTTCTGCTCTTCCCCTTCTTTGCATGGCTTCAACTGCACAGCTACAAGACAGTTAAGGATGGAGGGATAAAGTTGAATGCAGGGGAATGGGAGAAAAATCAAGAATTTGCTACTGACTAAAAGATTATTTTAACAATATACCGCCATTGTAAGAGAATTTTCTAGCTAGCACTGCCCAAAGCTCAACAACCCATGTTGTAGATATGTGATATACAGTATATATGTTCATATATATATATATATATATATATATAAATATAAAAACGCACAATCCCACAACCACACTTGAATAGACTGCACAAAACACCCTCCTAACTCTGGTAAATGGAAATGAAAACGGAAGTAAACACACACTTGCACACAAAGGCCTTTTATTCTAATATATTCATGTTTTTCTCAGGCATTTTTTAAGAGTGTGTTTTGCTGTTTTAGCCTTTGGCGTGTAGACTAATCACTCCAGTCACTGATTTAAACTCTTGGGAAATTGCAGGGATATACAGCTTTGATGATTTTATTAATTTTTTTTTCTCCTTTCTTTCTCAATTCTCAGCTGTTGCACGCTAACCACACTCTGTTTCCTATCCACAGCATGTCTCTGCATGACTGAACTGTCCATAGCACAGATTTTTATCAAGTAGTTTTCCATGTACAAAGGTGGCCTCCCCTGTGAATTCATTTGTTTTCCCCCTTTTTGTGAAACATGCAAGCATTTTTTTTGTGATGTACTTCAACACACCTTAAAATGACTTATATACATTTTCTTTTCTATAAGGTGTCCATTTGAAATGTAAACAATCTATTTTTTGTTGCATACATAGACATAAATACAATATACATGTGTTAATGTTTGTAAAATGGATGCATACAGTATCATAATCAACTCAAGCTTATTGGGTTTCTGCCTTGCTTAATTTGCTTCTTTCTGCTACCCTGATTACCCTTTAATTACAGGCTTTTGTACGTATTTTATAAGAGAAATATTAAATAAAAAAATCACACAGCAATAATTAACAAGCAGGAATTGTGTAATTTTCAAGCCATTCTTTATCATTGTTATAAATGTTTCCTTTAAATGTTTTGAAATGGAGACGTGTGATTTTTAATTGAAATGTCTCCAAAGTATTATATTGTTTGAACTCTTGATCTATCCATTAACCGTTCTCTGTCTGGTATTTTACTAATGGTTTAATCAGGGTATTCAGGATTAAAATGGAATCAACAGAGACAAAACTGGTATGATATTCAGTGAGAATGTCCATGTATGTGTGTTTTTTTTTTAACAGTGTTTTGTCCTGTCCTGTTGTTTGTTAGACTTGGACTGAGTCTGTTTTTTGGCGATTTTGCATTCTAGCAGAATGTCTCGCAATGAACGGCTGTGCTTCTAAGATGATTTAAGTTTTAAGATGTGGAGTTTAAAGTTGACCCCTGGTGTTATCTTCTCTTTTCTGTGTGTAGCATACACACATTCATGATAACAGATTATGTCAATGTATGTAAACTCATGTAGATAACGCCCAGGCTTCATCTTCCAGAGGATGCTATGCTGTTGGTGACTGTGTTGTCTTCGTTATTGATGAAAATCTCATTGGTTACTCTGTATCCAGTTTTGTTTCTTTCTTTTTCTTCCCTCACTCATAGAAACACACATATATAAATATACTGTAGAGGTATATGAAATTTTAAATGAGAGAGAATATGTTTTGTTTTTTTGTATTAATTGTTACAATGTCAAAATGAAGTCTTTTATTGATGGTTTTGGTTTATTAGTTTTTCAGCTCCAGGAGTTTTATTCTTACTAAAGTGACTTATCCTTATATCATAGTCAGTATAATCTTTATTTTATATAAGTTCACTGCATGAGATAAGCTCCCTCTTGCTTAATTTTTTGTTAATTAGCAGTATTTTCTTATTATAAAAAGATATACTGTAGTAAATTTTGCATCTGTGTACTGCCACAGTCAATGTTAAATTTATTATTCAGGATTGTGCAGACTCAAGTTTGCATTTGCAGGCATTTTAATTGCACGAGCAAACCATAATTTTAACTTTGTGGATTGTTTTAGTATTTTAATGTGATGAAATTCATTTGCAGTCTTTGAAGATGCTAACTAGCCTTCAGGTGCTGCTTTTTTGTGGGTCTCTCTGCCTTTAGCTTTGAGTTCAGTAACTAAAAGCTACTGTGTTAGGTTGAGATCAGGTGACTGACTTGGCCTTTGAAGAATATCTAATTTCTTTGTTTTGAGAATCTCTTGGGTTCCTTTTGCAGTTTTCTTTGAGTCATTTTACCTGTGCAATGCTGTCTGTTCAGTTTTCCAGCATTTGGATGAGTCCGAGCAGCACTTCAGAATTCATCTTTCCACTTCCATCAGCAGTCACATCATCAATAAACACGTATATGGCCCGATTCTGTCTATCCACAATGCCAGATAGGACACACCTTGATTTCCCATTTTTTTGACCAGGATGTCTTTATAAATATTTATCACTGCTTTCTTTAATCTGTGCAATTAATTAATTTTATCAGATGTGCTCAAAACTCCAGGAAAAGCCTTTAGTTGATGTAAAATGTTTCTACAAGAGTACTACTCAAATATTTTTCCCATATTGGCTTCTCTTTATTGGCTCCCTGTTAAACCCATCACATTTAAAATATTTCTCCTCGCATACAAGGTTTTGAATAATCAGCCCCATCTTATCCTAATGACCTCATAGTACTGTATCACTCCTTTAGAGCACTTCACTCTAAGACTGCAGGCCTACTACAAGTAGAATATTTTCCTAGAATATTTAAAAGTAGAATGGGAGTCAGAGCCTTCAGCTTTCAGGACCCTCTTCTGTGGAACCAGCTCCCAGTTTGGATTTGGGAGACAGTGTCTACTTTTAAGATCAGGCTTAAAACGTTACTTTTTGATAAAGCATATAGTTGGGACTAGATCAGGTAGTACTTCTTCTTCGCTCACCTCATTCTTCAACCACTGTGTTTATACATCAGTCTGCATTTAGTTATCATTAATCTCATGCTGTCATCCACAGCATGTCTTTATGTTGTCTTCCTTCCCTCACCCGAAACTGGCCAAGGCAGATGGCCGCCCCTCCCTGAGCCTGGTTCTGCTGGATGTTTCTTCCTGTTAAAAGGGAGTTTTTCCTTCCCACTTTCACCAAGTGCATGCTCATCTGATGGTGGGGATCGTCTCTGTTTTCTCTGTATTACTGTAGGGTCTTTAACTTACAATATAACATGCCTTGAGGTAACTGTTATTGTGATTTGGTGCTATATAAATAAAACTGAACTGAATTAAAGTGCTTAAGAGTGGTCAGTAACACTACAAAAGCACTAAGTAAATCTAAGTTAGTGTAATACAGTGATAACACTAACTTCCTTGAGTGTGTTCTTGATTAGATCATATAAAGTGTTTTTTCTTATCTACGGAAATCATTCTGTCGTCGTGTACTTCAGTTGCCTGCTGTGTCTTTCGGGCCTTTTGGTGTTGCTGAGCTGGTCAGTGCATTCCTTCTTTTTAACCAGATGATGCTGATTTGGCCACTCCTAAAGTTTTTGCTGTCTCTCAGGTAGGTTTATTTGGGGTTTTCAGCCTCTTGTTATCCTTCATTTGCACCCACATCTAGTAGTGTCTGTAGCTCAGAAGGGCATTTATTAGTCGGCCTAAGGTTGGTTGGTGGTTCAATCCAGGTGTGCATGCCAAAGTATTCCTGAGCAAGATACTGAAACCCAACTTGCGGTACAATGGGTGCATTGGAGTGTGCTTGTTAGCTAGAAATCACCTACTTAGGTAGGGAAAAAGTGCTTTTATGAATAGGTGAATGAGGCATGTCGTATAAAACACTTGCTCAAGTGCTTGAGTAGAAAGGTGCCATATAAGAACCATTTTCCATTTCTTTAAACCTCATATTGAGGGTTATTGTAAAAAGCAACCAAATGCAAGATCATCACTTTGATCTTTCTATCTGCTTCATTTGTCATGGAAACAGGCCTCACCTGATCATGAGACTGTGTATCCGTCAGTTATCCAATTACTTTTGAGCCTCTGAAAATGGGGGATTGTGTATAAAAAGGACTGTAATTCCAAAATATTTAATGTAATGCTATTTCATTTGTTGATGTCTGCAAGTACATCACTTGATTTAAAATGTACCATGATGCTGAACAGAGGCAAAAGTACTATGTGACTGTCCAAATAATCCTGGGGGTTACTGTATTTCCACAGTTTATGGCATTGGTCTATTCACACAGCAGTCCCTGTTGTAGTTACATCCATCCTTGCTTGAGCTTCCTTTAAACAATTTTGTGTTCGTATTTGCAGGAAAAACAAAAACCACGTTTGCCCGGATTGTATCCCGTTTCTTTCGCCTTTCTGTTTATGAGTGAAGACTGAGATATCTGCAGGTATCTCCTGGGATCAGTTTCCACCTTCGTCCTTCCCTCCTCTCTTTCACAGGCTGGGGGTGAAAACGGATGGTAGCAATGCTACAACTCTTCTAAGAGAGGTTTACTGTGTCACCTCTTCAGTCTTTGGGTTGCACTTGAGTGACAGCATGTGCTGTAAATCTTGTTTTTCCAGTATCGTTTCAACAAATTCACCTCCTCATCAGACTTTTTAGTTGGATTCGCTGCTATTTACGTAGAGTCACTTTACTCGTTGTGTGTTTGTGTGTCTGCTAGTGGCATCAGAATACAAGCAATCTGCATTTTTTTTTTGGTCAGGATCAAATTCCAAACCCTCTCAAGTGGATTGCCACTAAGGCATCATATCCTCTTTCTCCTCCTCAACCCTTTTTTCCCTCCCTTTTCTTGACCATCTTGACCATCTTGTGCTCTCATCTTTCTGCCTCTTTCAGGCCATAAAGTGGCCCAAACGTCATGCTGCTGTGCAGGGGCACGTGGCACAGCAGATTGGAGGATTTCAATCTGCTCACTTCACTTGAGCAAGATTAAAAGAAAACAAAACAAAACTGTGTACAGCCACAATTTCTTCCTTGTTGTCATCTATCTACACCTTGCGCTGAGAACTGAGATCCTACTCGGGTGTAATCTCCTGTAAAGGCCTCATGTCCTAAAGAGATGCCTGGGTGTCCTAATCTCAGGAACGGCCTGATTGTTACCAAACTCCTTATTAACTATGCATAGAGGACACGGTAGCCAAATGGAGCTCCGTGTGTCCATCAGTAAATCTTATCTTCGGGACGAGGACGTTAGGTGTCAGCGCAGAGAGGAAAATCAGCCAAGACAGAAGAAGAGTTGGATGAT